GAGTTAATACATATGACGTGCCTGTTACAAGGCCCAGCATAGAGCAAGAGCTCAAAAGTGTTAACTACCATTATCATGAGATAACAAGCCTTGGCCGCAAGGCAATTATAGCGTGCCTGAGGAAACAAGTCATTAATTCATAAATCATTAAACAACAATATAAGAATCATAGTTTTGTGTTAAAAACATGGTGTAAGAAAGTACCTCAAGCCAAACCAGAAACTCGGTGTCTACAAATGCCAAGCAGTTTAACAAAGTTCAGTAGGGATGTGGGGCACTGGAAGACACAGGTCCCATCTAATGGGACAGCCACTCACCCCAACCTATTGTAGCCATGTGAAGACGCCATTTCAATATTGCCAAATGTGTTATTTTTAATTTTTTTTGATGTTCATTTTATTTTATTTTTTTGAGAGAGACAGACAGAGCGTGAGTGGGGGAGGGGCAGACAGAGAGAGAGGGAGAGACAGAATCCGAAGCAGGCTCCAAGCCCTGAGCTGTCAGCACAGAGCCGGACATGGGGCTCAAACCCATGAACCATGAGATCATGACCTGAACCGAAGTTGGATGCTCAACTGACTGAGCCACCCAGGTGCCCCACCGAATGTGTTTTTAAAGAACCCAGAAATTTAGGTGTTTATGTGAATTTTCCCTATTTATACACGTTGTGCACTATTTCAGTGCTATAAAAAGTGCATAATCTTTGGGTTACAAGCTACAAAATTTGTCTAAATGCATCGTCTTTGAAAAAATTTTTATTTATTTATTTTGAGAGAGAGAACACACAGATGTGCAAGTTGGGGAGGGGCAGAGAGAGAGGGAGAGAGAATCCCAAGCAGGCTCTGAGCTGTCAGCCCAGAGCCTAACGTGGGACTCGATCCCACAAACAGTGAGATCATGACCTGAGCCAAAATTAACAGTTGGACACTTAACCTACCGAGCCACCCAGGTGCCCCTTAAATGCATAGTTTTAAGATGACTCTCAGAGGCCACATCTATTTTTCTTACTTACTAGTTTCTCTTAACTTTTCTACTCACATTCAATCTTGATGAAAGAATTCAGCCTCGAGAAGTATCACCTGCACAAGGTCACCCAACTAGAGGCACATCTGGGAATTCAATCTGCACAGACATCAGTGTCGAATCACTGCCCAAACTGGCCCCATCTCTATGAGTTCCGTCCCCTTGGGCTGGACTACAGAAGGAACGCTTTGAGAGGAAGTGAGCTTGGAATAAGATTTGGGAAGAAACCCAACAAGTGAAAGAATGTCATGGGAAAAGCATAGAGAGATAAAGTTCAAGCTGGTTTCAATGGATACTAAGATCATTCCAGTTTGAGCTGGGAAAAGTCTTGTAATGGCTGAACGAGAGTTCAGAGAGACACCGAAAGTTTATACTTTATGCCGCCCTCTATGGGGACCATGGGAATTTGACAGAGCTGAGTGGTATAATGAGAGATAAAAAATGGACTTTCAAAGGGCAGACTGTTGCCAGTGTTCATTCTACTGTCAAGAGGTGCCATCAGACACGTCCCTTCCTTTTGAACCCAGATTTTCTATTTCTATGGGAGGAGGAAAGGGAGGGAACAGAAATCAGGAACTATAATTTATCAAAAGGACAAGCAGTGAACTAAGGATAATTTATCAATCAAACTCCGGGGACTGGATGCAACCCAGTTAAGATTTTTCCCTTCTACCAGACTTGGTTGGGTTCTTGAGAAAAACCAATCAATTTTAAATGTAGATTTGTAAGATGCCCTGTCTGAGTGCACTGAGCCCACGTTAGTGACCCGGTTCCAAAAATTTCTGTTCCAGATGCATGCAGAAATGGACATCAGTAAACCAGGGTGATCTCTATGCCAACAGTCCATGTTGACCATTCATTCAACAAATATTCACTGTGTGTACTCTATGCCATATACTGTGCTGAGCCCTGGGGATTTGATGTTGATCAAAAGCAGACCTGTGCTTCTTACTCATGAAGTTTAAAAGTCTACTCATGGAGAAAGACATTAATCAAATAAATGTAAATGTACAATGTGATAAGTGCTATAAAGAGGCATTGCAGGGGCTCAGAAAACATCTGGTAGGAGGACTGAACCTAGTCAGGGAGATCAAAAGAGGCTTCCCTGAGGAAGTAATGATTGAGTGGAGCTCTCCAAATTAAGAATACACTTTTACAGCAACCGGAATAGAGAATCCAGTTAGAGGAAACAGCCGTAGTCATGTGCAGAACCCAGATTGTAGTGGTTCACAGGAGCAGGTTACTGACTTTTCAGGAAACTTGCAAGCCAGTTGAGGTCATGTTGGGAATATTTACACCACGGACATAGGCAAATGCCAGATGGTCAGGGGTCTTATTTTGGTTCTTGTGTTTTAGCGTGCTGCGAGGAGTGGGGGATCATTTAGTTTTCACGGACGGCCAGTTTCCAAACAATTGCCCGCAAGTTGAAGGCAGTTAAGTAGTCCAGGAAATGGATAATGATAGCTCGGACTAGAGATTTGATCGTAGAGATGAAGAGACCTATCAGACTGTGTATATTAAAGAAAAATCAATAGGATTTGCTGAAGGACTTCAACATAACAGTGAGTGGGTATAAATTTTATAGCGGGATGTATGGTCAGGACCCTTCCCCCAATAGAAACATGGAAAGAGGTTCACCATTTTTGGTGGCAAGGGGAGACCGGAGTTGTTTTGGCACATGTTTGGCTTGATGTCTTGGAGACAATCAAAAGGGCCTTAGGGATGAGTGGTTTGGGATGGAAGTATAAATTGAAGGGTCATATTTATGAAGCAATTGAAAACATGGGCCTGGAGGGGCGCGTGGGTGGCTCAGTCAGTTGAGTATCTGACTCTTGATTTCGGCTCAGGTCATGATCCCAGGGACGTGGGATCGAGCCCTGAGTCTGGCTCCACACTTAGCATGGAGCCTGCCTAAGATTCTCTCTCTCTCTCTCTCTCTCTCTCTCTCTCTTTCTCTTTCTCTCTTCCCCCTCCACCTTGCCCCTCCCCCAGTTGTGTTCTGTCTCTTTCTAAAATTAAAAAAAAAATTAAAAAAGGAAACATAGCCTTGGAATAGTACAGTAATACAAATGAGAAGATAATTAGACTTAGCATCGAGTTTTAAGGACTTCCCAATTTGACAGATATTTTTGAGAAGAATGAGCCTGAAAAGAAGGCTAGAAAAGTGCAACCCAAGTTCTGTTCATTTCAGCAATAAGTCATTCATAGGTTGGGCAAGGGCTGCCGTGACTGCTTGGACGATGGCAAATGGTAGACTGAAAAGGATAGAGGGGGCGGATGGAGGAGAGGTGGGGACAGTGGGTATGGACAACTCTTTCAAGAAGTATGGTTGTGATGGGTAAAGATATGGGATCAAAAACTGTGGGGTTTTTTTTAAGTGGAACTGATATTAAGGATGTTTAAGATAAAAGTGAAACCATTGGATTGGCCAAGTGGGGAAGAAGAATCTTTATGAGAGAAAGTAGAGTAGGCAGGAAGGTATATACAACTCACAGGAAAAGGTACCAGAGCCTATGGTGCTGAGGAAAAAGGATGAGCTGGATACTGTTGGGTTGAGGTTCTTATTTTATTTTATTGTTTTAGAGAGAGAGAAAGAGAGCAGGCAGGCAGAGGGAGAGAGAGAATGCCAAGCAGGTTCCATCCCCAGCATGCCACGGAACTTGAACCCAAGACCCTGGGATCGTGACCTGAGCCGAAATCAAGAGACGCGCAACCCACGCATCCCAAGGTTATGCTTTTAATACCACAAACCTATCGGTGTCTCTCTCTGATGGTTTTTACTGTTATGAGCTCATCGATCGAATTGCTATACTGGTCACGCGGGAGAGGAAGAATCGAACCAACAGCCCTCTGTGGTTTCCCTCTGAAAAATCCTTGAACACTGTTTAAATTACAGGTGTGTTGAATGTCTCTGATCTTGAGGATCTCAGAACCTCAGAAGCAGAAATTAATGATCTTATCGGACACCTTCATTTCAATTCATTCCCTGAATATGTATTGGGCCCTCACACTCCAGACACCCTGCGAATCACCAGGAATTCTAAGATAAACAGGAAAGCCTCTGACCTTGAAAAGGTAATGGAATAAAGATATTTATGCAATTAACTACAACAAAGTTGCCAATACTACGACTGGATGAAACTGGAGGTTTCCAGAGGAGGGAGCTAGTTCATTACAGGGCCACGAAAACGATCCAGGTCTCTAGACTCCAAATGGAATGTTGTCCTCACCATCCATATATAATATTACTTTTATTATTCCACACAAAAAAAATATTTGCTATGTAAATCTATTTGTTTAACCCACAAAGATAATACAATATTTCAGCCCTCTTGTTAATGTACTGCCGTCACTAATCCAAGATCAACACTCATATAAATACTATTGGCTGAGAACTCTATGATTTGGATGCTGGTATAAACCACTCATTTCCCTCTAAACGTTAGTTTGAAAACCATTAAACAGTAGATGGCCATCACCCCACATCCAGACTAGAACAATTCTACTTAGCTGTGTCTATATAAGGCCACAGAATCGACCACAATTTTGTTAGTACGCTTGTGTTTTTTTTTTTGTTACTGCCTCTGTCATATTTCTAAACTACCAGTAACCAAAACGTTCGCCTGCTTTTTAGTTTCATGTATTTAAATACTCTCGATTAACACTATACTGATGAAGAGGTAAAATTTTAGCTACTGAGGGGCGCCGGGGTGGCGCAGTCGGTTAAGCATCCGACTTCAGCCAGGTCACGATCTCACGGTCCGTGAGTTCGAGCCCCGCGTCGGGCTCTGGGCTGATGGCTCAGAGCCTGGAGCCTGTTTCCGATTCTGTGTCTCCCTCTCTCTCTGCCCCTCCCCCATTCATGCTGTGTCTCTCTCTGTCCCAAAAATAAATAAAAAACATTGAAAAAAAAATTAAAAAAAAAATTTTAGCTACTGATATCTTGGCATCACGTGGAGCCAAATGTACATTAAAATGAGCATTCACTTTGACAGCCCATATACTAAAATCGGAATAATATAGAAAGGGTTAGCATGGCCCCTATGCAGGGATAACATACATTAAAACGACTTCTTACCTTCTTGAACTTTTTCAGAAATGTATTAAATATTTACGAAAGGCCCACTGTGGCCTGGGATGAGGCCAAGTGCATTGGAGGGAAAAATAAGCAAGATGGCTTGGGCTCTCTAGGGGCTCAGAGTATAAATTCAGAGAGTCGATTTTGGACCTTTTGAACCTTCAATTTTTATTCTATTTTATTTTATTTTATTTTCTTTATTTCATTTCATTATTTTATTGACTTTGACAGAGAGAGCATGAACTGGAGAGGCACAGAGAGAGGGAGAGAGGGAGAGAATCCCAAGGAGACTCCACCCTGCCAGCGCAGGGCTCGATCCCATGAACCATGAGATCATGACTTGAGCTGAAATCTAGAGTCAGTTGCTTAGCCAACTGAGCCACCCAGGCACCCCCCAAGTTTGATTTTAAAACAAGTATTGGCTCTCATAGTGGGGAAATAACACTTTCTAGAATAAAGACTAACCGTGAAGTTCATTGGGTTCGGTGACAATTATTCTGAAGCGTCAAAATATCTAACTCATTTATCCTCGTTAGGGTTTTCTCCAGCTGTGAAGGCTGGTCCACAGTGTGCTTCCCTCTGACAAGGAGACGGTGGTGAGCAATCATGTGAAAATGGATTTGTTAATCTGTTCCCTCCACAAATAACCCACCACCCACCAAGGCATCCCACCCAAGAACCCTGGGATGAATATAAAGACCCACATGTCTTTGAGAGCTAAGCAACCCTGTGGAGAAGATAGAAACAGCAACAGCAATGCGTCGTGAAATTTATGCACAACGGTCATGAATGCAACATGCTGTGAGAATTCTGGAAGGAGATGAGATTCCCTCCGACTCGGGGATTGTGGGAAGCTCCTCAGTCCTGTTCAAGAACGAACAGAATTTAGATGTTTGGGGGAAAAGGGGGAGACATTCCAGGGGAGAGCTTCTGTCTTTGCAGAAGTTACAAAACCTGGAAATCATGCGGCAAATACCACTGCGTATACCCAGATAAGAATTCCACACACACACACACACACACACACACACACACACCCTTTTTTCTTTTAACCATTTGGGAGCCATGGAAATGTGCCCACATTGAGGACTGGCTTTAGGAATAATCTGCTGTCACCAATTAGAACCACGGACTCTGTTCTAAATTTTCCCCTCCTGGTTGTTATGATTGAGGCCTCTCTCAACATCCAAGCAGACAGGAAGGGAAATCTTAGAGGCCACAGCTCGCTGGAGCTTGCCCCAAGCCTTGCCTGGAACAAAGATGGAGCCATGAGGGTTGGGAGGAGGAATACAGCTGCTGGGGAGCTAGAGAAGAAGGTTTGATTCTAAGTGCAAAGCATACAAAACCCTCATCTGAGTTCTGTTTCAGCTGGGACTCGACACCAGGCAAATCTGACCCTCCCCGGCTCAGTTCCCAGAACAGAGGTGGGGAGAGAAACACAGCCGTGCATCTTACTTGGGAGAAACAAACCAAAAGGAAGATTAATTTTTTGAAAGCCAAGTACTAATCCGACAGTGGTTTTCCAAGAGTGCCTCGAGCATTAGTAGGTCATTAAATCTTTGTTAACAGACCAGGGGGAAAAAAATGTAAAAAGGAGGGGAAAAAAGTGGTCATGGTTCTGTTTAAGTTTACTCAGCATGGAAATTTCATCAGATCACGGAACGGCAAAGATGAAAGGATCCACCGGACCCCCAACCAAGGCTAGACGCCCCTCAACGGCATCCCAGGGACAGGGTTCCGCTCCCTCTCGTTTCCTATGGAGTGCAATCTCACCAGAAACGGAATTTGGGTTTTACTTTTTATAATCCGAGAATGCAAAAAGTCTAATCTGTCTTCCACTCCCCTTCTGGAACTTGAAAACTGCCTGTGTGATCCTTGTAAATTTTCCTATCTTTGGGTTATTCCTTATGTACCACGGTTCTCTCCACATCTCCTCAGATGGCAGGGTCTGAAACCCCGAACCGTCGTCACTAACTACAGTCCTTCTCTTCCCTGAAAGATGTCCCTCCCTGAAAGGGGGGCCACACCCCCCTTGCACTGTGGCCTGAGAAGTGCACGAAATATCTCAAGTATAATCTGACAGCATGGGGTAACAGGCCTCGATTACCCCAGTTTCAAAATAGGTAATTTCATTCAAAGGAGCCAAACATATGAATTAGGAAAGCAACTTTTTTTTTTTTTTTTTTTTTTTTTTTTTGGTCAGTACTTGTAAATTCATATCTTTAAGTCGTCGATCAAAGGCTGATGACTTGGGTCAAGAGAAGGCAAGACAAAAATGATATGGAATGTACCTGTTTGTACTCATTTGGCAAGAAACCGAAGAGTCCATATGGACGCATGAGTGCACACACACACACACACACGCAAGCTCGTGTATTGTGTGCCTATCCCGAGGATCCCTTCTTGACTCACCTCTTTAGCAGTCCCAGGATCCGTCTGACTCCGAGCAAAAGTAAAGAGGAGCATTTGCTGTGCCAATTTCACACGTAAAAGATGGGAGAATGGTGTGTGGACATTATAAATGTCCCAGTAATAAACTTAGGCAGAAAAAAATAAAGAAATCCTTTAATGTCCCTATAATTGTATTTAACAAAGCTATCAAACCACCATTCTGATGATGGTAAAATATGGGAACTTTCTTTTTTTTTTTTTTTAATTTTTTTTTTCAACGTTTCTTATTTATTTTTGGGACAGAGAGAGACAAAGCATGAATGGGGGAGGGGCAGAGAGAGAGGGAGGCACAGATTCGGAAACAGGCTCCAGGCTCCGAGCCATCAGCCAAGAGCCTGACGCGGGGCTCGAACTCACGGACCGCGAGATCGTGACCTGGCTGAAGTCGGACGCTTAACCGACTGCGCCACTCAGGCGCCCCAATATGGGAACTTTCTACTTCGAGATAAACTTGGCCATTTCTAGATGGTATGTAATCTCTTTCGGATGAACGCCCGGTCCGACCAGGATTTTCTTCCACACCACCGCCCCCCCCCCCCCACCCCCGGTGTTGACCTGGTGTCAGGTTTTGGTGGGAGGAGATGTCACAGTCTATCTAGAATTCCACGCTGAATTCTGAGCTTTGCAAGTGGCCCCCACTATACCCGCTGCGGAGTGTCTACACCTCTCACTGGATCCAAGTCCATTCTTCATTCCCTTATCCCAGCCTCATCCCGTCCCATCTCCAGACCTGCCCACGTCCTCCGTCGTGCCTCTCCAGGAGGTGCAGGAAACTCTCATGTTCCCATCTCGCACCACGGTGAGGTTGTGGGGGACTCAGAGGAGGGAATCCACCTTGGGTGCTCTCTTCCTAAATAAGCCACATCACATCATCATTTCTGTTTAATAAGCTCTTTCCGGGGTCAAGAAGCTTTCTCTTAAAAAGCCCAGCCCTTGCCACCGGAAGCCCCAGCTTCCAAGAGGAAGTCTCTATTACTAATTTTTATAAACATGCAGACATGGACCTGCCTTCTTTGTGCTGGGATGTGTCTGCCCCTACCTTTCAGAAATGAGGTCTCTGACAAGACTAGAGGGTCCTGAGACGACAGGACAATTGCAGAGGGGAAAGACCTTGGTTAGGGGACTTTACATCTCCAAGTTTGTGTCATTGAATGCTGATTTATGGATTCGGGAACGTGGCATTCAGTTACCCATCTTTTTTTCTATGTTTATTTATTTTTGAGAGAGAGAGAGAGAGAGAGAGAGAGAGAACATGAGCAGGGGAGTGGCAGAGAGAGAGGGAGACAGAATGTGAAGCAGGCTCCAGGCTCCGAGCTGTCAGCACAGAGCCCGACGCGGGGCTCGAACCCACAAGCCGTGAGATCGTGACCTGAACCGAAGTCGGACGCTCAACCGACCGAGCCACGCAGGCGCCCCTCTGTTACCCATCTTGTAACAGAATGTCACGGTTTGTGAGCCAGTGAGGCAATTGTTCAAGGTCTTGGTGGGAAACACGTGCCTCAAATGGGTCAGATGCAGACGGTTTGATGAAGGACCAGTCACAGAGGTGCAAACAGGGTGAAGGCGAGCAGTAAGGCGGGGTTGGGGCACCCAGCAGCTGGCAACCGTGGAAGCCTCTTACCCCAGGGCTGAAGAGGCAACCGGAGAGGGGAAGATGGTACCCAGGACTGGGGGAGCTGGAGCCGTGGAGAAAGAGCTGCCCCAGAGGAGCTGTGGTTAGGGAAAGATGCTATCAGTCACTTCTGGAACCTGAACACAAAGCAAGGGAGGGGGCAGAGAAGAAATTCATTGACCTCGCTTGTCTCTAGTCTTCCTGTCTCCTCTGCCTCCTGTGGACCAAACGGAGCCAGGTGCCAGCCTGCAAGCAAACCCAAGTGAGCTCCCTGGGGCTCAGGCAAGGCTAGGGACTAGGTCTCATAGGAGATGGGAGGGATGGAGAGCAACAAACCTGGTGAGCATAGCACTCAGTGTCCCATTCTAAAGTCCTTGTTTTCCAGGGCCTCCTGGGTGGTTCAGTCGGTTAAGGGTCCGACTCTTGCTTTCAGCTCAGGTCAGGATCTCAGGGTCATGGGATCGAGCCCCACATCAAGCCCCGTGATGGCTCCATACTGGGCATGGTGCCTGCTTAAGATTCTCTCTCCCTCTCTCTCTGCCCCTCCCCGCTCGCACTCTTCTCTCTCTCTCTCTCTCAAAAAAAATTAAAATCCTGCCCTTCCTTCCCCTCTCACTACTGAGTGAGTCTAAGTGGCTCAAGTAGAAAGGCTGTAAATAGTCACCCCCCAGCCTCTTTTCAGTTTGAGTCTTACAAGGAATTCGTAACCTTTTTTGGTAGGTTACTACAGCCTAGAGAATACATTAATATATATAATTATTATTAATTGTTATTTACTGGCCTCTGTGCTGACAATCTGGAACCTGCTTGGAATTCTCTCTCTCCTCCCTTTCTGCCCCTCCGGCATTTACACACTCTCTCTCTCTTTCTCAATAAATAAACTTAAAAAAATATTTTAGTTGTCGTAAAAAGACTTTTTTAAGTTTACTCATTGAGAGAGAGAGA